AGAAAGCTTTAAAGACATGAAAGGAAAGCGAGTGGTGAGGATGGTTTGGACATGCGGCCATGGGTAACACACCCTGGACAAGCATGCCCACAACACCCAACAACCTATCACGATTTATGGTTTCTAATTATGAGTTGAAGCTAAGCTTGGCCTTGGAGCGAACTTTTATTCTGTTATGAAGATCTTCTTTTTTTTAATTAATTTAATTTTTTAACTTTCTTATTCCGTTATGATGATTATATTGTAAAACTTCATTTCCAATTCCCTAAAGGATGCAGCCAGTGATTAACCCTACCCTATATAGTATTTTCCTCCATTCATTGGTCAGTGTCTTGTGTTTTACTTCATAGTTCTTTTCTTTTCTTTTTCATGTATTAATATACAGTTGTTTACTGTAAAAGTACAAAGTTCATCCTTTTAAGACTAATTGAAAATCAAGTCCCAACATTTTCACAGCACATTTTTATTTCTTCAGGAGGCTCATAAATTACTCCAACCAGCTGACATGTCTTACAAGACAATGGCAATTGAACTAGCCGAGTATCAGGTGAATCTGATCTTTCATGTCATAATGCTGTTGGTACATGACAGGATTTATCTGCTTACACTTACACTAGTCAGAGTTCTTCTGATCTTATCTTTCTTGTCTGCCATGATTGTTGTTGTAGGTCTGTGTTGATGTGTTCCTCACTACCCAGAATTACATCGATATTGCTTCTATTTCTGTCATTGCAAGGACCACTGGGGGCCAGGTAAGAGTGTCCGATTTTGGTAATTCCCGAGAGATACATATGAACCAGTTTTTCTTGAAATATAGTCCTCGATTTTTCTGTTAATGAGTAATCTCGTGTATTCTTGCCATGATGTAGTCTTTTGCCTTTACAGATTTGGCTGTTGGTATCTTTCTAATTTTTAGTCAACTAGCTGACAAATGTTAAACCTGAAGTCTTTAGACCTAACAGGCCGAAGCCCCTTTTATGGTTTATAATTCTTAATGTCTTTTGAATTCTAATTACACTGTGACTTATTTTTCGAGTCATTGATTAAATTAGAAGTTCTTGTTAAGCTCTGTTGCTTCAATTACAAACAGGATTAAAAAATGCGTTTAGTTATTGACTTAAAAATTTGTCTTTTCAATAGTTCCTTTAAACTTTCTAAAGCAATGTAGAATTCACCTTTTAACATTTCCCCTACTTTACTGGTCATCTACTCTGTTACAGGTTTATTATTATTACCCCTTCTCAGTTCTTTCTGATCCAGCAAAGCTCTATAATGATCTTAGATGGAATATCACAAGGCCTCAAGGCTTTGAGGCTGTGATGCGTGTCAGATGCAGCCAGGTGATTACCTCTGTTCAACTTTCATTTTTGTCAACGGAAGTGATCTGGTGCCTTTCACTTTCTTTCTTTTGTGAAATTAGTAGTAATTTTATCAACCTTTCCTAGGGAATCCAAGTACAAGAGTACCATGGAAATTTCTGCAAACGCATCCCAACAGATGTTGACTTACCCGGGGTATGCTATTCTCTACATGTTACTTATCTAAAATAGTAAACAAAACTATAGAATTGTCAGCAATCCCTACCAATCTTGTTTTGTATAGAATCAAGTAAAGTTTTCTAACTTGTACTCTTATCCTTGATGTTGTGCCGTGTCAAGTAAAGTTTGTCAGGAGCCTGTGTGTGTTACATTTGTGTACTTCAATGCTTTGTTTCTTAAATAAATGGGTGGGTCAACTTTTGACTCTCGTGTTCATGTTGTACCTTTACTTTTCCCTTTTCTCTTTCGTTAATGGGTTTTACCATTAGCATTGGCTTTTTTTATGATTTTGCTCAAGCTTACTCTTCTACAGTTGCTGTGTATTGTTTTTTGGTTTATGGTTGTTTTCTTAGCATCATTCTCTTTGTTCCAGATTGATTGTGACAAGACTATAATGGTAACTTTAAAACATGATGACAAGTTACAGGATGGCTCAGAATGTGCTTTTCAGGTAGTGTCGTTTTCTTTTTTCATCTCCCCCCAACTCCCACCAAAAGTTTATTCCCGCAAATTACGGATGTTGATACGTAAAAGGAGCATGTATTTAGTCTCAGTGCTTCACTTGGTCCTCCAGCTTTGTAGGTCTTTGATAAAGAATTGGATCGTGCCACCATACACACAAAAAATGGGTCTTATTGGTCTATCTTGTTTGTTAAATTATAAATTGTACTCGTGTAATGATAGTTTAATTTCTTGATGGTGCTATAGAAAGATTTGGTGAGGCATATCTAATTTGTACTTGTGCCTAATGAGTGGAGGAAGACGATTAAACTGGACTGAAATGATAGTTGAGATGGTGGCTGCCATGTTGCCACTTGATTCATAATTTTTCACTATTATTTTGCCATTAACACATTAGAATTGATATTTGTGACTTGTTTTACATTAATTTATATTCTTTTCCTATTGTAGTGTGCGCTGCTTTACACTACAGTATTTGGTCAGCGGAGAATTCGTGTCTCCACTTTATCTCTACCGTGCACTAGTATGCTGAATAACCTCTTCCGATCAGCCGACTTGGACACACAGTTTGCATGTTTTCTAAAGCAAGGTATCTTCACTGTATTGTATTTTAATAATATTTTGCAGTTTGTTGTTGTAATTATCATTAGGACTGCTTTTTAGTTGATTTGATTGTGGTAACATTATATATACAGATTCACTGCCTACAAACTATTAATATCATTCTGGCTCGCGTACTTTATCCTTTCAATCCTATATCAATTAGAAAGTCTTATTATGCCTGTTATCTGATTTTTGTAGCGGCAACTGAAGTTCCTTCATCCCCACTTCTGCAAATCCGGGAACGTATGACAAATCTGTGTGTCAATGTTCTGCTTTCATACCGCAAGTATTGTGCAACTGTATCATCATCTGGACAGCTAATTCTTCCGGAGGCACTAAAGTTACTGCCTCTTTATACTATTGGTGTGTACTTTATCTATTGTGAAAACCATCTAGTGAACCCACGATTTTATTTCCCATTTGTCTGAAATTTTCTTTACTTTGATATCCAATTTCTCCTTGTTAGGTGTTTAGGAGCAAATAATTTTTTGCTCATGGATACTGAACTCTCTATTATGTTGATAAATAATTGTCCGGAGAAAGCAGAGAAGCATCTTTAAGAAGATTTAGAAATAGTTTATAGTCTTCGTACCACCTATGGAAAATATGGGGCTCAACTAAAATGTATGGTTGAAATGATGAAATGGAGAGAACTCAATCAGAATGTTAGTAAGCATAAGAATAAGAATAAAGCATAAGCGTTTTTGCACTAATAAATTTTGATATATAGGGGTCAGTGATATTGTTCTATTGCCTTCTTTCAGCATTAATTAAAAGTACTGGTCTGAGGACCGATGGAAGAATTGATGATCGATCTTTCTGGGTCAACCATGTTTCTTCTCTTCCAATTCCTCTGGCTGTTCCCTTGGTATATCCTAGAATGTTGGCTATACATAACCTTGATACAGAGGTATGACTTCATTAATATCGTGTACTTGTTTTCTCTCAGTGGTGCATTGTTCTCAGTTGGTGTTAACTCCTCTTATTTGCAGGATGGTGATTCGACTCCCGGTACTCCAATTCCTCTTTCTAGTGAGCACGTGACTGAAGAGGGAATTTATCTTCTTGAGGATGGTGAAGACTGTTTAGTATATATTGGGAACTTGGTTGATAGAGAAACATTGCAACAGTTATTTGGCATTTCATCGGTTGATGAAATTCCTGCTCAGGTATCAGTCTACTATCTAGAATTGTCATGTACGTTAAACATGCATATTGTTATTATATTTTCTCTCGGATTAGAGAGTTTGGATCTCAGAACCATAAGCAGGAAGTGATTAATTGACATTCTTGGATCATTATGAATTTATTTAAAGTACATACAGGGTATTATCTGGTATATATAATTGTTGCAAACTTACAAAATATGTATACATGAGATGTCTCAATTGGATTTGTATGCTGGATGGAATCAAATGTGCATTAGATTTGTCACTAATAATGTTGTATGCTCAGTTTGTGCTGCAGCAGTATGACAACCCGCTATCAAAGAAGCTTAATGACTTGATGAATGAGATACGACGTCAAAGATGTTCCTACCTACGGTAAGACTCATATTTTACATCCATTCTCCTTTTTAAGTAGTGTATCCATTTCTCTTTGTGTTTGTGCCCGGGAGAGGGGATTAGAAATAAATTTTGCTGATATAGTTAAGGCACCTATACCTTTCTTAAAGTCAAAGGTTTGATCCCCACCCTACATTTAGTTCAACAAATGAATAAAGAAAAGAAAAAGAAGACGGGGACATGGTATCTGACCATAATGATAGATGATGGTGATTAAATGAAGGTCCTATCTATCAAAATCAAAAGGTGAGGAACGTTACAAAGCTCTGCACAATAGAAGACAAAAAAGAAACCAAGGACTCCGGAAAGTGCCCCCAATTATGTTGAGCAAATTGATCTACTATATATTTGATTAAATTTCCTTTTTCATCTACTCTTTTGAATTTTAATTAAATTTCCCCTATTTTGCAGCTTGAGGTTGTGCAAGAAAGGAGACCAATCAGGTCAGTGTTTTATACTAACTGTTATTTAGTTGTTACAAGCTTAGAACAAATACATATATATATATTTTTTGTCTCCTCTTGAAAATTTTCACTATATCGTTTTCTTTTTCAAACTCAAAAATTGACCGAGCATGATTGGTTTTGCTAGCTTTTTCTTAAAAAGTATGTGTAGGGTGATCGTTTGTTGTATGCTTTTGGTGTTTTCTTCATCAGGGATGCTATTCTTTTCGAATATGATAGAAGATAAAAGTGCAAATGGCCCTTCATACATCGAGTTTCTTGTTCATGTACACCGGCAAATTCAGATAAAAATGTCGTCTTCGTGATCTTATGCTTCATCCATGCAAAGTTTCCATCTCCCTCTACATGCTGCAACTGTATACTTCAGGTGAAATCCTTACCAAGAAACCAGAGTTTCATGGGAAAGTGGAAACGAAATTCTCGAATGATATCGTCAATCCACAGTCCCATTTATCTTTGAGAAGTCAGATGAGTGAATTTTGATGGGTAATTGTTGTTAGTTTATGTTTTGATGGAAGATTTTGGTAGTGAACACAACCAGAATAGTTTCATGTTAATTTTATTGTTTTTCACAGAATTTTCTTCCCTTTTTGACACAAAATATCCTTTTACTTTTCTCTCAACATACTGCCTGGAGACGAGAAATCCTGGGAGGATATCTACATATTTTATATATATGAGATTTAATGACTTCGTTTTCATAATTTAATGTAGATTAACACATGTTGTCTATTTATTTGCAGTGAATTATGTAAATTTGAGAATAATTTTCATAAAGACTGGCATGCATTCTTGTACTTCCAAAAAAAACTACGTTACAATATTCTATTTTACTTTCAAAGTATACCCTAAAAATATTTTTGGCTTCTAACCATTAAATTTCATAATCAGAAAACTTCAAATTGAGACAAGTTTAAAAGTGATTAATGCAACACATGTTACGGCAGTTATCATATATGATAAAATATTTCAAAACAATTGGAGATTTATGAACCAATTGTGAGGATTCTTTTCTACATTTTTTTTAACCACTCAGATAATTTCTAATAATTATTATATATAATTTGATATAATATGTATTGAAAAATAGTTCCGCAGAATTTGTCAAGGAATCAATGTGTGTAATTTAAATATTTTTTATGATTCTTAATTTTATAACATTTTAGAAATATCTGCATTGACATTTTATCAATAGACACGACATTTATAATCTTGCTCGAATCATTTTTTTTTTTGGCCTCAATGTTGATTCATTTATTCTACCTCCAATGGAAAATATTAGTAACCTTCTATTTCAACTTCTATTTCGACTTTTTGGTTGCTCACGTCACGCTAGAAGTTGCTTACGTACACAGATGCTGCTAGAAGTTTAGATCATTTTCGTCACGCTAGAAGTTTAGATCGTTTTGGTTGCTCACGTACACAGAAGTTAAGATCATTTTTGAAATATCTACCCATGTTTTATGTTTCGAGCCTTAAAAGGAATTAATAATGTTGAGAGCTCATCTTCCTTTCCCGGAGCATTCAAAGAAACAACCAACGAATTCACCAACCAAACGGCTGAAAAATTTTTATTGATGAAGACACATCAACTTGACAGGTAAGATGTGGTTTCAAGACTATGTTCCTTATGCAGGTCAAGAAGAAAAAATATATATTTCTTGACAAAAACAAAAGACTACAGTTCCGCAACATGGAATGATTACTCTCCCTACTCTATTGCTACCTCCCTCCTTCCACATGGATGGAAGCTTTTTCCTTGACCAAAACAAATCAAGACTATTATGAAACAAACAAGATGACACCTTCTAAGGTCCGTACAATGTCAGGCTCTAGGAAGCAAACAAAGCTAAAGTCGATTTGAATTCATTGAAATACCCGTCTCGACGCCTGTTTAGTAGTCCATTCCACCCATGCCGCCACCCATTGCTGGAACTTCCTTCTCGTCCTTGGGGAGTTCGACTACAATGGCTTCTGTTGTTGTCATCAGAGAGGAAACACTGTATTCAAAAAGACGACACGACGCCTTAGTCTTGAGGAACATTGAAGTTATAGAACAATATATTGATGAAAGTAGAATTGTTTTGGCTTACCTTGCAGCATCAACAAGTGCAGTCCTAATTACTTTCAGAGGATCGATGATGCCAGCTTTGACCATGTCCACATATTCACCTGGTCATTCATGTAAAAAAAACTGTACTGAATTAGCCAGAAACGGAAAGCATTGGCTGTTTTATTTCTCTTATATGCAACTGACCTTTAGCTGCATCGTAGCCAAGATCAGGGTTGTCTTGCTCCAACAGTTTACCGACCACAACAGCTCCCTCAACTCCCGCATTTGATGCGATCGTGTGTACAGGTGTCTGAATAAAACATTAAACAAAGGAATGAGAGCGGTTGTCACAAATATTTGAAACTCAATCTTAGTGTCGGTTAGTAAACAATCATGTTAGAGATTATGACCTTCAGAGCATTCTGAATAATCTGGACACCAATCTTCTGATCAAAATTAGCAGTTGGAAGTTTATCTAGTTCTTTCGACGCGTACAAAAGAGCAGCACCACCACCTGTGGAAGGAGCCATTTTGTTAATGTCTTTTAGATGCTATCAGTAATTAAAGTTAGCACATGAAGAAACAACTTACCCGGTACTATTCCTTCTTCAACAGCTGCTTTTGTGGCATTCAAGGCATCTGTAACTCTGTCTTTCTTCTCACCCACTTCTGCCTCACTTGCTCCCCCAATCTGCAAATAGGATTGTCTTGAACTCAAGGAAGACCGTCTCAGAGAACAAATACAAAACAAATTGAAATTCAAAGAGTAAGGGGCAAACCTTCAATACAGCCACACCACCAGAGAGTTTTGCTAATCTCTCCTGTAACTTCTCCTTGTCATAATCAGAAGTGCTCACTTCAATGGTTGACCTTATCTGTGAATTGCAAAAAACCAAGAATATGATACTAATTAACTTCTATATCGTGTGAAAATTACTCCTTAACACCGTGTAATATTTTTAAATTTCACAAACCTGTTCGCATCTTTCCTCAATGGCCTTCTTGTCACCAGCACCATCAAGAATAACAGTATCATCCTTTGAAATTGTGACCTATGATATCAACCCAAATTAATGGACATCTCCAAATCGAGGCAAAAAAACTTCTAATGGTCCAAAATAGATTGAAATTCAGGAAATAAAAAGAGCTGTATCATGAAATGATTAAGAAACTTAGGTGTAAAACCAGTAAATTTTGTAAAGTTTCCACAACCATGTCTAAAACTAGTACTAGTTAAGGCATGTATCTTCAACCAAAAGGTCGTGGGTTCTCGCCCATATATGTTGATGTACTAAAAAATGATGAAACTGTTTGATATCTCATACCTTCTTGCAAGATCCAAGCATTTCCAGATCAACTTTTTCAAGATTCATTCCAAGCTCTTCAGTAATGAGCTACAACAGAACACACAGATCAACTATTATGACGACTCAGAGAAAAATATTGTACAAAATGAATGTGAAGTCACAAATAAAAGACTTACTTCACCTCCCGTGAGAACTGCAAGGTCCTGCAGTCCAGCCTTCCTATTTTCGCCAAAACCTGGTGCTTTAATGGCACAGACCTGCAGAAACAGTTAACAAGTAAGCAAGGAACCAAACAATTAAAAGTTTCAATTGTTGAAACCATACAATGGTCGAACCTTAATTCCAGCACGGAGCTTATTCAATATAAGAGTGGCTAGAGCATCACTTTCAACATCTTCAGAAACAATAAGAAGGGGCCTTTGCCTCTGAAGAGATCAAAGAAAAATACAATTTTCATCATCCATTTGCAATGAAAGGAGAAATATATCATCCATTCCCAATTTTCATCATCCATTTTCATCATCCATTCCCAATTTTTTAAGTGACCGTCAAGTGTTAATTATCAAATGGTACCCTACCTTCAGAGCCAACTCTAGAACTTTCACCACAGCATTTATGCTTGAGATTTTCTTTTCATGGATTAGGATAAGAGGATCATCCAATTCCTGCCAAGTCAACCCATGTGGTTAGTTAAAATCAGAACATATTGATGATCAGGCTCGTGATTAAAAAATTGGGAAATATATTTAGAAGATAAAAAGATACATACACATTTCTGGTTCTTTTGGTTTGTAATGAAGTAAGGAGAAATATATCCCCTGTCTAACTTCATCCCTTCAACAACTTCCAACTCATTATACAATGTCTTCCCATCCTGCAGCATATTGAATACAGTCAAAACAAACACCAAAGGAAAGGGTTAAATCAGGAAACTAAAAAAATGACAATAATCACATTTTCGGATTAAACAAAAAACCAACACGCATTGTTGGTGAAAATTGAAAGATAAGTATTGTGGAACTCCTGAATGCATAGGGCTGAAATCTGAATGATATCTGGCAAAATTAAAAACTATATAAAGATTTTGACTTTGAAGCATAGACAAATGCTTCTGATAATACCACCAAATTGACTAAAAAAGAAACACAAGGAAGCTTTTACCATGACCCTACCGCCACAGTTTTTTAGAATAGCAAACACTCTACTGCTTGCTTACATAGTATTAATGTTTATGGCAAACAAAAAAAAATTGTAAATAAGATTATCAAACTAAATAAACTAAACTGATATTATGATTGTGCCTAGACAGTATGTTTAAAAGAAACAACTTTCTTGCTGATAAAGAACTTTTATTTTTGGGTTAGGTGTGGAAAAGAGTCAATAATCAAATTCACTTCAGGACCAAAAGTTTATTTCAACCATGAGAATGATCACAAGTAGAGGAGATGGAATACGGTGGGGCACTACCGAATACCATATTGAGAATATATAAATATATGTAACCAACTTACTGAGATGGTGATCACACCCTCCTTGCCAACTTTCTCCATTGCCTTGGCAATTAACTCACCAATTTCTCTTTCTCCGTTTGCAGATATTGTCCCAACCTATAAAAATACAATCATCAGATCGCATGATCCTTCGATATAAAGTCACCTCGAAGCCATCAAAGAATTAGTCCAGCTAATAAAGCCAAGTGGACCAAACAGAAAGTAAGAACAAACCTGAGCTATCTCTTCTGAGGTGCTTATCATTCGTGCTCGGCTCTTCAAGTTCGTTACAACAGAATCGACTGCCATGGAGATACCACGTCTTAAATCCATGGCATTCATTCCTGCAGCAACTGACTTGCAGCCCTCCGTAAATATCGCTCTTGTAAGAATAGTAGCACAAGTGGTGCCTGCAAGCCCCAAAAGTTTCTCACTTTCACTTTGTGATTGAGTGTACAAGCCAATAATACAATTGAGCACCATAGGCAAATTGCTTTCCTTTCAATTATAAATATTCATGTTGACAAGAAAAAACCAATCTTTATGTAATGAAAACGTGGTGAGTAACAGCACGTTACTTTAGAGGTTATGCTTGACCAGAAGCTTACCATCGCCTGCTACATCATTGGTCGCATTAGCAACCTGCTTCACAAGACTGGCTCCAACATTTTTAACTTTATCTTTAAACTCGATACTCTTTGCGACAGTCACACCATCTTTTGTAACTTTGGGAGCCCCAAAACTTTGTTCAATCACTACATTGCGCCCCTACAGGAGCACGACAGAATCAACATCTATCAGAACCCTGATGCGATATCGCACATATATTAACGAGAAAGTGATGTTCTAATCTTAGATGATTAAACCCATAGTGTCAGTGATGATGAGAGTGGATCCCATCAATGGAAATCAGCACATATATATTCGATTGGGGAAAAAACGCAATGACGGCAACAATACCTTCGGACCCATTGTGACTTTAACGGCATCAGCGAGATCTTCGACACCCTTGAGCATAAGACCTCGGGCCTCAACCCCGAATTTAACGTCTTTCGCAGCATAGTTTCTGCTCCAGTTCGACCTACTGGCAATCTAAAACGCCAATACAAGAAACACAATACACGACAGTTAATGGAAAGTCAGAGGCTAAATGATCTCCATTCATGTGAATGATCAACATAATAATAACTCACCTGATTGGTACCGTTCCTAGCAAGACTGAAAACGAAGAAAAAGAAAGTCTGTAAGTATAGAGACAATTCCCAGAAGAACACTATCAAAAACAAGCTTTTGTTCGTCAAATTTCTTCAATTACCCATTTCAAAACAGTTAATATATCAACGACCCAAAAGAACACAACCCCATTTCTGCCACCCTTTATTGCAAACCAGAAGAAGAAACGATTGGAATATAAATGACTCGGAACCACAGAAATCCGGAGGAGATCAATATCAACTTACCGGGCTTTGGAAGCAAGACCTGAAGCGAAGCGGTGCATTGTAAAACGTCCGCTGAGACCCAAAAAAACGAAGGAGAGGGAAGAAGAAGAGCAGTGGAAAGAGAAGAGAAAGGCGATGAATTTGCAGAAATTGAATGGGTTTAATAGAGCGGAGAGGAAGGCTCTAGAAACAACTGAAACCACACCAGCTTCTAGGGTTTAGGGTTTAATCCAAAATGGAAACATCACAGCCCAACTTTTTGGCGTGGCTGAGGGTTTTACGTCGAACTTCCCGGGTCGGCTAGATCGGTTCGAACCGTGGAATCTTCTCCGATCTATTTTATCTGTCGGTTCGTTGAGATATGATCCTCATGAATTAATATAGTATCAAATTGTTAATACAAATTTATTAAATTTTAGTTAAAAAATATCTTTTCATCACTGTATTCCCAGAGTAACCATTTGTATTTTCAAATCGGTAATAATTTAGCAGTGATTTAAAATATTTAACATATTTCATAAAAAAATGATATAGGATTGTGAGGTTCTGACTAATATAACTGACGAATGAAGGTACCTATAAAAGAGAGTAACAGCTCTAACGTTCTAATCAGTACTTATTCGATCTATCGCTCGAAAAATAATAGTTTTGCATACCTTACAAATTTCATTTATAGAGACAAGCTTGTACCTCTTGAGCTACTACAATAGTGTTATGATAGAGTTGTGAGATGCAGTGCACTGTCTGAAATTCGGTTAGAGATAAGCGCTTGCATATGCTCTTAAAAGTCAGCTCGTCCTTAAAGAAGGTCGGCCAATGTAAATTAATGTTGAGTTCTTGGTAATTTCTGAAGCGACGAGTCACCCTCAATTTCCACGTCATTAAGATGATTGGAGACTTTCTTATGAATGTTTTGTGGACACGTGCAAGTCGATAATCCACCTCCAACATAATGTTTTGGTCTTTAGGATAAAAAATGTAATTTAGGTTTACTGTGATTTCTTATATAAAGACCAATAAACAAATGAAAAACCACAAGTGTTTATAAACTACCTGTACTAAATAGTTATATAATAAAAATTGACACCTAATTTTGATGAATTTTTTAAAGGTAGAGACTAAATTGTTTTATATTAAAGTTTAAGTACTAAATTATTATGACCAAATTAAAATGATAAGTCCTCCCATTTCCACAAAAGACCCACACCCAAATTTCATAGCTTTGAGTTCGCTATCCCGATCATGATTTTCCTACCTCCAGAGGGAAAAGTCCTTCCCTTTTTGATCGATTGTGGCGAGGAGGGATTCGAACCCCCGACATCTTGGTTCGTAGTCATGATTAAATTATCACTTAAAAAAAGGGTATGGCTTAACCTTAATTTCTTAAGTAATCATTAAAATATATATTTACTATTAATGAATATGCTAACATCAACTTAGTTTAGCTCATTGATACGACATGAGTACGAAATTCCATCCAACCCTTTTTTTCCTTCCTCCAACTCCGTCCAACCTTCTGTACTAAAAAATATTTTTTTTTCCTTTTTTTAAGGAAAAAGGGGCAAAAAGCCCAAAAACAAAAACTAAAAAAAATAAGGCGGGACAGAAATAAATAAAAAATAGTTATTTATTTATTTATTATTTTGTCACTTTACAGACGGGCAATAACTCGGTAACCTGCGGGTGAAATAAACCCTAACAGTCCATAACGTGGCGTGCTGTCGTTGGGCATTCATATGCTCGGGTTTCACCATTTCCTCCTCTGAACTCTACTTGAAGCCTCTCCTTCGTCCCTTTCAACTTCTTTCGTCTTCGAATCCGCCTAAATCCAATTCCCCCATTGCAGCCACCTTCCGATTCAGCCATCAAAACAGCTCTCTGAGATGACGGAGGCCGCAATTCGGAAGAAGCCTGGCATGGCCAGCGTCAAAGATATGCCGATCCTCCAAGACGGGCCTCCACCGGGTGGATTCGCTCCGGTCCGATACGCCCGCCGGATTCCCACCAAAGGCCCCAGCGCCATGGCCATTTTCCTTACTGCTTTCGGCACTTTCTCTTGGGGCATGTATCAGGTCGGCAAGGGCAACAAGATCCGAAGGTCAGCTTTTGTATTTCGGTTAAGTGTTTCAAATTCCCTTGGGGATGTACCTAGGATCTCCGTTAGGGATTTGTTGATTTTTGTTGTAGTTTCGAAATTCGTGCCTCTTGTTGGGCTGTTCTCAGGGTGGATAGCTTTGATGCGATGAAGTTTAAGTTTCCTATAAAAAATTGATAATAACAAGAATTTTGTGAAAATGGTTTTTATAACCCAACCCAACCATGAAAGTATTCAAATCTAGTCACGAAATCAAGGAGATACAAAAGTGCTCTAACTCAACACTACAATGCCCAAATCCAGCTGAGAAACGATCCAACACAGTTAGAAGAATCAATTCTGTACCCACAAAATAGCATATTCAAGCTAAAGAAGAGTCATAGCTAGTAAGAAATCTTATATAAATGGAAACTTAGGGGATTAGTTTCACCACTTATTCAAATTTGGATTCTATTCGATGAAATTGGATGTTTAAAGTTGAATTTGACACACCCATCTAAGAATGTGGGTAAAAGGTGATATTTTCCCTAATTTTAGATAACTTTTGCAAAAAGTGGTTATCTGAGACTAATAGAATTTAATTGAAGACATGATCGGTGGCTAGAGATGTTGGCAGAGGTTTTATTTAACATCAGAGAATCTCTCGGTATATGTATATTATGAGAAACTGAGAGATATGTATTAAGCCACAAAAAAGGACAGCCTAAGGGCCGGGGGAAGAGGGAACCCTGTCCAAAGCAACTATACAAAAATGGCATTCCAATTTGTGATAATCATCAAAGACTAATTAATTACAAAAAAAAAAAAAAAACAAAAAAAAAAGAATTGTCCAAAGATGCAATGTACTGCACACTACTACAAAAAGAATCAAAAGAAGAACACTATTTGAAGATTCTTTGATTTCTTTCTTTTCAAAGAAGTCAAAAGAGCGCCCTAGCTGTGCAACTCCACAAAATCTTAGCTTCCCTTTCAATTTCCAAACTGGCTTCTATCAGCGGATCAGCTACTCTCCGTGAGAAGCATCCTGAGAAGTGAGAGCCCAAGCTCTCTTATGATAAACATCCAGCCATCATAAGGAAAAGGGCGGTGGAGTAGGTATGGTTTATATTTTCACTGTCTTTGAGGCATCATCAGCAAATAGAAGGAGACAGCATCCACTTAGGGAATTTTCTCTAAATAATATCATGAGTATTTAGACTTCTGAAAGCCAAAGACCACAAAAGCCTTAGCCCTATTTGGGTATTTGAACTTACAAATAAGATCTATCAATGGGGCCTTTAGGAGGGGAGGTTACTCTTGAGATTTTGGAAGGCAGATTTAGCCGTAAAAGATCTTAAAGGGATCAAACTAATTTATTGTTTTTGCAGCTTGGATGAAACCCATTAAGCTTCTCAAGGAGAGCCAACCAATTAGTCAACTTTCTCTAAAAAATTTCCTCTTCTAATGTGGAAATTCCATGTCTGATGGTTTGAATCCCAGCAATCAGCAATGATGGCTCCCTTTTTGCAAGATAGCGTAGATATCTTGATACAAATGGGCCAAAGAATTTTGTCCTACCCAAACATCCTCCCAAAATCTGATTCTTCTGCGGCACCCTGCCCTGAGATTCTCTTGGTACTAAGTTATAGATGCATCCATTTAGTTTCCTAGGGAATTAAGATATGAAAAGTAATTGAACTTCAAAATTTAACTACTAGCTTCACTTGATTATTTATTTATTTTGCCTGCTTTTATTGTTCTCTCATCAGACCGGTGCAAATGGATGTTTAGAGTGAGCTCAATGTGATTTCGTATTCATGTGTAGACTTGATTTCATCAGGATCAACATTCATAACTGAGGCCATCAGTTTACATGTAAAAGAAGAGTGCCTGTTGCTCCTTCCATAATGTAAAGATTTTATTCATCGGATCGATAGATTGTCATAGGATCGATAGATTGTCATAAATAACAGTATTTTCTGCTTTCCTCCATTTCTCTTCTTGCCATTTGCGTGGAGGAGGTGGGGAGAGCCAACCACATGACACATTTAGCTGGATCAAAGTTTTACATTTAGCAGAAGAAGTGTCTCATAGTGTCTTCTATTCCCTTTTGTCCCTTTGGTTGGAGCCTATAGGAGGTTGTGAATATAGTTTAATGCCGTCTCATTCTCCTATATATATATTTGTTTATAAATACAGTTCACATTGAGCCTATACAGTGCATGAACCTGAATACATAACATAGTTTGCTCTTACAGTTGTTATCTCTTTTAGGGCCCTGAAGGAAGAAAAATATGCAGCCCGTCGTGCAATATTGCCTGTACTTCAAGCTGAGGAAGATGAAAGGTAAAATGGATGATGTTGTGTTGGCTGCCTTTAATCTTCCTGTGACCCTGGTTAAAACTATTGGATTTCTTGATAGTTTTGACAAAATTTGACATCGTTTTCCAACTTTATGTGCTCACTTTCTAGATTTGTCAAAGAGTGGAAGAGCTACCTTGAATACGAGGCTGAAGTTATGAAGGATGTACCTGGTTGGAAAGTTGGTGAAAGCGTCTACAACTCAGGGAAATGGATGCCTCCAGCAACCGGTGAGCTACGACCCGATGTCTGGTGATTTTGTTTCAAACACACTCATTTGTGGTTGACATGTAGTTTGTCTAGAGTTTGTCTGCTCTGCGACTTATCCTCATATGGGTTCTTGCTTTCCTGGTTCATGGCCTTTTTTGTGAAATAAAAGAAGCATGTCAAAATTTCTTCAAATGATTTGCAAATACTACTGCTGGAAATTGTCTTCTTCACTCAACAAACATCTCCTTTTACCCATGTATCTCACTAAAGCTTGGGACTTGGAATTAGACATGAGTTTACCTTCTTTTTTTCTTGCTTACTTAATTGCTGTTGAAGCAGTGGGATTTCTTGCGAAAACAGTGTTAAACATGACCTCTTCTTAGCCTAATAGGCGATTTGATATTTTTAGAGCTCGAGAGAGACAGATGTACAGCCTATAGAACGAATCCTGTTCAAGTAAGATCCAATTGATAAATACCTGACTGTTGATGTCGACCTGCATTGAGCTTAAAGGGGTTCGTGTTCTGCCATGCCTCTCACCTTTTATTTCTTGTGTGCCATGCTTGTTTCTTACTTAACAATTTCACCCATAATACCATTTCATAATACCATTTCAATTTACAAGATATAAACTTTTCATTGATAAACAAAAATTAACATTCATAGTACCAATTAGAACCAACTTCTTGTACAAAATTTAGAACTGCTGAGTATAGGAAAATACTTGCACTTAAGCTATAACATGAAGGTAATGCATATTTGTTAGGAGTGAAAACTTTGAATGATACACTTCGAGATATTTTCTAATTGTATCGTCATATATGAGTCAATGAGAATTTTCTGAGTACGATTAGCACATAAGGTCTAAAAAAGTAAACGAGAGCTGACATTATTCTCATAATCACAACGGGTAAGTTACCATTTTTTTTAGTTCAGCAAATATGTGGCGGGGTTGGAAATATGGGGATCGATTTTCCAACTTCGATAATGTATTAGGTAAATTAAAAGATAATTATAAACTTTAACCTTAGCCATCTTTATCGCTCAGCGGTAATTAACATATACCTCCAATCAAAAGGTCGTGAGTTTTAATTCGTTAATTTTCTCCTTTAGTCAATATCTTGTGTTTTCTTATATTTAATTAGATTGTTTGATTGGATATTCAACTTTTTTAATTATTTTTTTTTCCAAACGACTCAATCAACTGGAAAGGGAAAATGAGTGATAAGATCGAATCACCTCGGACGGATCACTTTGGGATGACACTTGATAACCGCGGGGGCTCTCTCAATGACCTCCTCATTCGTAAGGTGATCATCGTGTGATGAAAATAGTCGGAGCAATCCATCAGAACATGGCTACGGTTGGCATTCCCTACGAGCTAGGGCAAGGAATTGGATCGAAACTCGAACATGGCAAAGAACGACTGTCCTGAATACATTTCTATCTCTCATTATTTTTTTGTTTTATTGTCATTTTATTTTTCAATGACTCAAATAAGAAATTGAAACAAAGTTTTATTTACTTTTTATGTATTGTTATGTTTAGGGAAAAAAAAGATGAAAAATCCATGAATATGTAATTTTTTAGAAATTTTTTTTAAGTAATTGAAGAATAATACTTTTAGCCACCCTAACCGCATCAGTGGGTCATGAGAATTATTGAAATTTTATATTTTTAAACATTGAAATAAAAACTATGAAATTTCATGTGCACTACACGTGTTTCTTACTAGTGTTCTTTAAATGTTCTTTTTAGTTCATGTTCTTTCAATTTTAATTTATTATAGTCCATGTACTTTTAAAAAGTTATCGTTTTAATATTTGTTTGCAAAATTTTACCACAAATTCTGCACATAATAGGAGCTCTTTAATATAAATTCATTAACTCAAAATAAAAAAATGGAGACCTTCGTCAAAACCTACCTCTAATAAAACTCACCTTCAAAATCAATAGAAAATATGAAAAAAAAAATCAAAACAAGAGATGAAAGAAAAGGTAGGTGTGTCTTTCACGTCGTTGTCATAGATCTCTTTTGTTGCGCTACTGTGAATATCTGTCGTTGTCACCGCCAATCACTGTCGCTGCTGCCACCAATCTTTCTTGCCGCCACCATAGGGGAGGGAGAGGGGAATGGAGTGGCTTCAAGGGGAGGGAGTGGGGAAGGGAGCGGTTGGAAAAGAAAGATGAGAAGTCGAAGAAGTACAGTAAACGTTTTTAAAACAATCAGTTGGTTGAACTGGAATTGAACTGAACCAACATTTAACATAACCGAACCGAATCCAATTGGTTCGAGTCGATTCTTCAGTTCAGTTCAGATCCTTTCACCCATATCCCATACTATGTCAATATCTATAGATTCCATTGGAGGAGAAGAGTGGCTCATATCTATTACAAAATCGTCCTTTAAATAATAACAATCACACTCCCCTTTATAGTTACCTTAATTAAATTGCCCTTGCCCTTCCTTCCCCATATTTTTCCCTAAACACAAATTGAGTCATTTTAAAATTAATTACAAGAATAGGGTAGGAAGGAAAAAACTAAAAATACCTATCACAAGAGTACCCATCACAAATTTACTTTTTAAACATAATTTTTATAAATCAAAGTGAGCTTAATTTAATAGTAATGACATATATCTCAAACCACGAAGTTAAGAGTTCGATCTCCCACCTCCACATGTTACTAAAAAAAATAAAAAAAATTATAATGTTGTGGGTCTCATATCATTTATGATTTGTTTGTTAAGGTTGTAGGCCAAATCCTCCTCCACAAAATAAATAAATATGGAAAATTTCTAAACCAAAATAGAATTTGAGTCTATCAATTATAGAAACAAATTTCACCAAATGTACTATACCCTAAAAACATCCTCCACGAAGAAATCGTTTTAACATAAATTTAATCATTTATTAAAACCACGTCGTCATCTTCTTTCGGTATCATTAATTTTCTTTGACTAATAAATCAATGTGACTGCATAGTTAATTCGCTAATATAAACATAGTTCGGTAGTAATTGATATATATTTTACAAATATCATATTGTTGTTGCATCAAAAATATAGAAATGTTGACATTGACTTGAGCTTGATAAAATATGAAAGGATTGAATAGTCCATCATCCATTTTCGTATCTTTTTGAACTTTATCTATTGGTCCGAATAAGATATATGATTTATTTGATCGAAATTAATTGAATGCATAATTAAAAAAAGAAACATTTATGTAGCATATATTCTATAAATGGTATACTTATTTACCTTGTCAATTAAATTAATTAAATTCCAATTCATAATCATTGAAATTCATGGACAATACAGTTTAATAATTTAAAGTAGATATTTTTACTTGACCAGTTTGCCATAATAAAAATTAGTTTAAGTATTCATTAAAAATTTTAATAAACAAAATATATATTAATGTAAATTTAGCTTTGAGTTTATTTATTTTGGTAGAATTTAACTTTGAGTTAATAGAAAACTTAATTGCATCGTAGACATTAATAAATATATAGAATCTAAGAGACTTGAATATTAAAATTTTATATTTTAGTTCTCAAAAGAGTTAAAAGATAGTCTTTTAATTAGAATTAATTATAGAATTCCTAAAATTTTGTAACTTTTAAATTATCTACAACTACAAAACAAAGTTTTATTTCACAAATTTTATCAATTGTCCCCCAACTATACCACCTAGACAAGTACATGTTATTTCACTTTGTTAATAAAATTAATTAAATAAATAAACGTCAACAACTTATACATTGTAATAATTAAGAGTCCATTTGATAATGTTTTCATTTTTTGTTTCTAATTTTATTAAGAAACTTATTTTTTTTAACTATTTAAAATAAATCAATGTTTTTATTTATGTTATGGAACAAATTGAAAACGGAAACAAGAAATGATAAACTTATTGTTGTTGTCTAATTTGTATACAATTAAAAAAATTTATTGTTTGGGTGGTGGAGTTGGTTATCACGCTAGTCTCACACATTAGAGGTCCTCGATTTGAACCTGAGCTCAGACAACACATGTATCTTAATATTTTTTCTTATCATTCTTAAATATACGAGTGTTGAGACTGTTTTTTTTATCATTCTTAAATTTACGAGTGTTGAGACCTTACTATTCTATTTTCTTCATTAAAAAGAAGAAACAAAAAAAACGGAGCCCTAAATGTCAAAAAGTTTTCAAATGAAAATTAGAAAAAAAATGTTGTCAAATGAAAAATAGAAAAAAAAATGAAAAAAATGAAAAATAGAAAGAAAAAAAAAGGAAAAAATGTCTGAGCCCGGGTTCGAACCGGGGACCTCTAGTGTGTGAGACTAGCGTGATAACCAACTACACCACCCAGACAATACATTTTTCAGTATTGAAATATAAATATATTAAAACAAATTATTAATTAATAATGCAAATATTTCCCCGCCGCGAACCACCCGTTCGGAACGAAAAACACATTCTTGACGGTTCCGTTATTCAATTCTCATATATTTTTGAAAGCCACCATTCGCTGCTCGGCGGGTAGGGGAAAGAATTTGACGCCCCACCAAAAATAAAAAGAAGGGCAAAATCCGCAAAATTTTTCTCTGTAAGAATAATCTACCCAACGCAGACATACAAGAACAAAGCTAGCAGAGGAGATCTGCCAGATTGCTGTTCAATTCTTCCCCACAGATCTCCTCGTGTCCGATCCGATCGGAACCCATCTGCTGTATAACTTTGGAGTTTTCCCACCAACATTTCTTCCCCAATTCATATTTGTTTCTTTTATTTCTACCCATCAATTCACTTTCCCTTCTTTCCCGACGTTACCCATCAATTTCCGTTTCCTTGTTTCCCTATTAGTCTCGCTGTGTTTGGATTAGATTCATTGTATTTGGTCGGCGCTGATTGGGTTGGTTCATCTTTGTGGGGTTTGTTTTTATACCCGGAAGGATGGTGTTGCCATGAAGATATTGGGTTTGTTTGTGTTTCTCTCCTTGAGCTGGGGATTGTTGTTTTGATGGCTTCGGCTCAGGTGTTGCCCAATTTGATGGCGTCGACTCGGAAATTAGAGCATTTGGAAGCAGGAAAGCGTCGGGTATGGATTTTTCTTTTCCTTCTGTTTTCCCTTTCCTCTTTGCTTTTATCTCAAATTCAAATCTTCAGTTTAGGTAGCGTGGAACTTTTATGTTTTCTTGGCATGTGTCTTTGTGCATTTTTATTTGAGAGTGTCGGCAAATTGACGTGGGGATTTTGTATGCATTGGGCTGGTTGAGTTGGAATTGATTACCCACGATCGAGCTGCTAGGAGAATGTTTGATTTTGATTTCCACAATTAAAGAACTAATCTATGCCATTTGCATTTAGAAAATGGTTGGCTGTCTGCTTGTTGGGTTTTTCTTACGGCGTCTTTAAGAGAGTCTATTTGACCGAATCTTCACTTGGGATGCTGATTTTATGGGGGTTGATGGGCTAGCTTACGACGAGTCGTTGCTTTAAGGATGGCAGTAGTCTGTCGAGCTACATATACATTTTTGATAACTTTGAACTTGAGCTTTGAATGGAAAAATTAACATTGGAATAATCGACCTCACATTCAGAGCTTCTTATAGCGGCAGGGGTTTTTTGAGGGGAAGGGGAGAAATGTAAATGCCGATGTGTTCCTATGTTGAGTATCTGGCTGTAACTTGTTTGCTTCATCTGATACTCGAAGTTTTGACCAGATGTTTTAAGCTGTGGATACCAATTGCACCTATGATGGGGAATTGACCCATCTTCTGTTGCTTATTCTGGATTAAATTTGGGTTATTGTAACTCTCTCAGATGACTAGAATGCATGTTTGATAGCTTTAAGGCTTTAAGCACATTTCCAAACCTTTTGTTCCCCACACTTTCAACTTTTTTGGAAAAATATTAGACTTTTCATTATGTGAAATGAATAGAATTACTTTAAAAAAACAGGCAAAAGGTCTCTAACCAAAGGAGATTATAAGAAAATGCTCCACTTGGTAAAGTTGTGAAGTCTAGTTACAAAAAGGTTAAGTGAGAGTACTTTCAAACTTTGATATCATATTCACTAAACTTATTATTTGAACTCTTGGCTGCATGTATCCGGCTCCTCTATAGTAAACTTCTTAATGTTCATACTTTAGATGCATTTAGATAGTTTGAGTTATTAAATTATTCTTAGTGAAGTTCATTTTCTCTCAGAAAATTGATTGGTCCTTTGTGTTTGCCCAAGATTTGGTCATTAATGCCTTTTTTTTCTTAAGAAAAGAAAAAACATCATTGGCTGTTCTTTCCCGTGTCCTTCTTTATCACTCCATAGATTCTTTTTGTATGTGAAAATTTGATTACTTCCTTTTTCTTGCAGCTAGAGGAGTTCCGAAAGAAAAAGGCAGCAGAGCGACTTAAAAAGGCTGCACCTCCAAGCCAAAATCACATTTCAGATGGTGGTTCCCATGAGAAGAAGCCTTTAGAATCCGAACATGCTCAACGAATTACAGATTCTGATGGAGCTACAACAACAAATGGAGCAGGCAGATCTGCTATTGAATCATCTCCTGCTGTAGTCAAAGATGACAGACACGCAAATAGCTTTTCTCAGAATATTGAACAAAATACCTTGAATGAAAGACATGCAATCTATCCTTTTACAAGAAATGGTGATGGAGCCTTCTCAGCCGATCCAGTGAAGCAACCATCAAACGATCAAGAAATCAAGACATTTGATGGTCTGAGGCTCCCTAGACCCACAGATGTTAATAGTAGAAACGAGATATTAGAAATAAATAGGGACTCTGGAGTAATTGGTGAATCCCAGGCTAGAATTTCATTCGGGAGTGCATCTGGCATTAGCCCACAAGAAAGTGAAGAGACTGATAGCATTTTTAGTCAATCTGCCCACCATGGGGTGGATGGACTACACTATAGAAGAGATAGTCCAGAGAATTCTACAATTAAGAGCTCTGGTACTTTGCATAGCTTTTCTGCAAATATTTCTTCACAGAATACTGTTGGCAATTTGCAGCATACAGATGCTAGTGCTAACAACATTTTGGCTAGTGGACGTGCTTTCTCGTCATCTTATGATGGTAAAGATTTTTTTTTCTTCTTATTTTCTCATGTTGTGTCAAGACAGGATTGATAATAACAGGTTGTTTTGTATTTTCTTTAGGCCTCTTTAATAATACAACTAGAACAGGATATAGTTCCCATGAAGTTGGGGAAAGTGTGCCCAAAACTTTTGAGTTCTTTGGCAATCAGACATCTGATATTGGGCCAAGAAAGACTATTGATGCGACTGATTTTACTAGAATCAAGCTTGCAAATGTGCAGTCATCTGAATCTGCAGGTATAAATACTGATATCAGAAGCTCCTCCAACTATGAACCACCATACACAGCATCATCTGAAAATAGTTTTAGGCGTTCTCGCCCATCGTTTCTTGATTCTATTACTGTACCTAAGGCTCCTTCAGGGAGTTTTCTTGCTGAGCATGAGAAAGGATCTAGAATATCTGATGGGTTTAAAGCAAATGAAAAAGATGCCCCAGTATCCTTATCTTTTCAGAATCCTATAAAATCTGATGGGTTCAGGACAGATGAACGTGATGGCTCAGAGTCATTTTCTTTTCAGAAGCCATTAATGGATATGAAAGCGGTGGGAACTTCCTCAGATTTTGCCTCTCAAAACACTCCAGCGACTTACAGCAATTCATTTCCTTCTTCATTTTCTGCTGTGAAGGGGGTGGACCAGTCAAGTATAGGGATAGAGGATAATACAATGGAGAGGAAACATGAGCTTTATTTGTCCAAGCAAAATGAAGATTTTGCTGCTCTGGAACAGGTACTTTTATATTTGGTTGTGGTCATTGAATCTGGAATTGGTCCGTCCAACATGCAAAGTTACCACAATGGTCTATATGCCAGGAAATATTATGTAATGTTCTTTTTGAAGTTTTATTTAAACCAGTTCACCTAAAACTAAAAGATAATTTAGTGTGTTCCTCTAGTTGCAATTGGCATGGAATGGGTTGAAGTCCAACTTGGAAAGTTAATGAGTTGAGAAAATTATGCAGTTCTACTGTACATTTAGTCTACTATACATCTTGGAGTAGTGAGGTTCTTCACTATTTGTTTTCCTGTTTAGAACCCTGTATATCAGCTGTTTATGTTAACTTGAGATTTTCAAGTTGGAGTTGTTGCATACTGAAGAAGCAAAAATTTTTATTTCCTGTACTCCATCACTAATTATATGTCATCCTAAGATGAGGCTTTTTTTGCATGTCTACACATATGACTGTCTACTGGTAGTTTAATTGATTTTGAAAGTTAGGTTCCAAGAAATTAGTTTGTTGTTGAATCTTTCAATCGATATTGTTCCTATTATGTATAGCATGATTTATATTGTTCATCCTCAGCCTATCATTCATAAAAGGAAAACAGGATAATTTAAAACTTCCAGAAGCTTATGAAAGAGTTCTTACTTGAAAAATATTGCATAATTAATAGCTGAACTTGGTGAAATGTTTTCAAACTTTATAATAAATTAATTAATTTATTGCAACAACCATGAGTCCATGAGCTATATAGAATGAAGATATTGGCAAGGAATGATGCTATTTGAATAAATGATGAACTACATAGTACATACCTTTTTGTGTGTCTTGGGAAATGTTTTCCCCATATTCTATTTTTTATTTAATCGTTATCACATTACAAATATGACATATTGACAATGTCTAGAACCAACGTTCAAATGCTTTCTTTGCATTTGTTTTTTCCCGTGAAGATTGTATTCAACTGACATTTTTTGTGGTCTTTAATTTTCTTCTTGTTCAGCATATTGAAGATTTGACACAAGAAAAATTCTCCTTACAAAGAGCTCTGGAGGCTTCAAGGGCTTTAGCAGAGTCCCTAGCTGCTGAAAATTCATCTCTTACAGATAGTTACAATAAACAGGTTGGTTTATAGATTCTAAGTGGGTATGATACAATATGGTCACCTTTCCGATGATTAAACATTTTTTGTTTATGGTCTATTGTACTGTATTTTCAGAGTCTTGAGATCTGACAAAGTATAATCTATGGCTTCTATCATTCAGACATTTATAGTTTCATTAAAAGTGACTATTTTGTAAACATGTGTTTTCTGTATACATTTTTTTTTTCAAAAACAAAAGAGAAAAAAGTTCCTCCCTCCAGCTGATGTGGCATCCCAACTAATGATATACCAGTAAAAACTGCCCTCACATTTGAGCGTCCTTATTCATGTTATGAATTATAGAGTTTGATTCCAAATTTGAACGTTTTAATGATCGGCCTTCATTTCTTACAAGTTGAAGTTTGAAGTTTTGTGACTGTAAGTCTAATTTCCTCCAATTCCTCTTTAAACATCTGTCATCTAGGTTGTGTTACACTTGTAGCAAATTCTTTTATAATTACTCTCTCACCATGATACTTCATAATTGGAAGGCTTTCTTGTGTTAGTTCCTTCCTTGGGAGGGGGATTCCTCTTCCCCCTGCCCCTAGTTTGTTCCTTTTGTGATTAATACTAGTCTCAGGTTTCTTATTAAAAAAACATCTGCACATTTCTAGCTAACTTAGTCTCTTAGTCTTCGAGATAAATTAAATGTAGATCAATTCCTGATATTCATATGGCTCTGGATTGAACTCTATTATTTCTGTGTTCTTTTTCTTTTGGTAATTCTTCAGAGAAGCATTGTCAACCAACTAAAATCTGACATGGAGACATTACAGGAGGAAATGAAGGCGCAGATGGTTAGTCGTTTTCTCATGTCTTGGCTATTTTTTTTCCTTTTTGTTTGATTTTCACCAAAGGTCAAGTTTCCAATTGCAATGACATGTAGGAGATGGGTTAAGATAAGGATCCCCCCACCCCACCACCCTGTATTAGCTTCTGCAATGAATATTATTTTGATTTTCTTTCTCAGTTTCATTATTCCTATGATTGTTTTAAGAATTATTGAATTAGTTATACCAAAATAGTATGAACAGAGATTCGGTCTGGAAGGCTGGATATAGTTTTAATCAACGGTATCCAATCGAGTCAATTGACTTTGATCTTGATTGAGATCCAAGATCGAGTCATGAATAAGTACTTGGAGTAAAATAATTTCTATTAATTGTGTCTTGATATATTTGAGGAACTGTCACGGTGTTGTCTTGGGATTTTGTGGGTTGCCTTCGACTCCTTTTGGAGGTTTCAAAGTGAAATTGAAGCCCTTTTACCTTTCCCAACATGCATTATGTGTGATGTTTGTTAAACTTACTGTTGTAGTTTGTCTCACTGTCAGATGTCATACTCCTGCATATTTTCATTAGAGATATATACATGACCCCTTAGCTTCACCCCATTATTATATATATATATATATATATACACGTGACCCTTGGCTTCAACAGGTTGAAATGGAGTCTCTCAAACATGAGTATGCCAATGCACAACTTGAGTGTAATGCAGCTGATGAACGTGCCAAGCTGATAGCTTCTGAAGTAATTGGTCTAGAAGAGAAGGTAACGATATTTTAAAATCATAATTGTAGTTCTCATCCGTAAAAAAAAATTAGTTCTCCCAAGGCCTTCAATTCAATGAAGTGTTTCATCGGTTTAAGTTCTTTAGGACTGCCTATCTTAGTTTGTTAAAGATATCATTATTTTCCTGGTTAACTAGGTGGTAGGTTCTGGCTTTGGTCTGTAGTTTTTATCTTGATGACCATAGATTGTTCGGAGAAAGTTGTTTACTATTTCCTTCTCTTTTTTTCATATGGAGATAAAATAAATAAAATAATTGTCTTGTAGAAATGTACATGTTGAGTTTCTTTTTCCTGATGCAAAATAATTGAAAAGTTTTTCCATGTTGATATATATAATTTAGAGGTTATGGAGGAACACTATCCGTTTAGATCATAATGTTCATCAAATTAAGCTAGTAAGATGCAATTGCACCTTTCACCATTTATTTATTTAATTTTGTATTATAGATACATTTTATACATGACAAAAACGAAATTGTAGTTTTTTGCTCCATATATTCGCTCTTCACTTGACTGAATATATTTTTGTTGTTTGGAATTAATTGAGGAATTCAACATAATATTGTTATGTTCTATTCCATATGAAAATGATGGCATCAAGCATTCTGCTTGGGGATTGAAGTTGAAGTCCTACCTGCATCTTGTTTGGATGATTATTATGTCTAAAATATGTTTTTTATTTTATTCATATAGGCCTTAAGACTAAGGTCTAATGAGTTAAAGCTGACAAGGCAATTGGAAAACTTAGAAGCTGAAATCTCTTCATACAAGTACGTCATCTAATATTGTGGCTGTTAACAAATAATCTCTGGTTATCACTTTAAATCTCTTTACCCTTTAGACATGGTTATTTCTTAATTTTGTAAATTTCATAAATTGTTTCCTATCCAGAAAAATGGAACTCAAGGGTTTTGATATGGCTTGATTAAGCATTGCATCTTTTAAAAATGTTTTGTTTTTGTTTTTCATTTTTGGGATAAAAGAACCACTTCATTAGAAAATGAGAGAACTACAAGATTAGGCCATACCAAAATCAGGTCCCACCAACCAAAAGGGGCACCTACAAAAAGAAAAGAAAGAAAGAAAGAAAAAGTGAGATGGGAATTGCGTTGGTGCTTCACACAAATGTAAGGGATAATTTAGAACATGAGCTGTGATAGCAGTTTCAGTGAAACGCAAGCGATTTTATGCA